TTCCATTTACTAGTGTTAGGAAAGAGGGAACTCTGATGGCTTTGTGGTAAGGACTTGCACTGCCAACCTAAAGGCATGTGGTTCAAATCCACTAACTGCTCCAAGAAAGAAAGATGGGAAAATTCTTCCTGTGCCATTTATAGGCTCTGAAAACCTTCTGGAGGGTCAACCAGTTGGTTCTGACTTGATGGCACACAACAACAACAACAATAACAAAAGCAACAGCAAGAAAATAAGAATCACTGAGTAAGTTTTTTTAACTTATGAGAGTCTCATCTATAAAATAAGAACAATAGCACTTGTGTTATTATGTTGTTGTGACAAAGGCTCAGTGAATACATATGACGGTTTCTGTATACTGTAAGTTATATCTCATTTCATTGCAATCAAGTTGTAACCTACTCATAGCTGACCCTCTGGCAGGTTTTCAGAATCTATAAGGAAGAAATTGCCCATCTTTCTCCCAAAAAGCAGCTGGTAGAATAGAGTTTCTTGACAGCTTTAGGTTGGCAGCACATCTCCTCAAGAGATAATGCATGGAAAACACTTAGCCTAGTGTATGATACGTAGAAAGTGCTCAACAAATGGTCTAATAATGAGATGAATTGATAAAGTGACTGGAGCAATGGGCGTAAGTGCGTCAGGGATGATGAGGATGGCACAGCTCTATTGTTCATAGAGTCACTGTGTGTTGCATTCGACTCAAGGCCGCCTAACAACAACAGTAATAATGGAGATGATAATAAGAATGCCAGTTCTTCTTATCCCTGTAAAGGGGCCGCTAATGCCCTGGTGGCACAGTCATAGAGAGTTGCACTAACTCAAAGGCCACACCTCTTGGGTGGTTTGAATCCACCAGTGATGCCTTGGGAGAAAGATGGGAAATTCCTGGGGTGATTTACAGCCTTGGAAACCCAGTGGAGGGTCAGCTGTGAATTGGTTCCAACTTGCTGGCATCAAGAGAAAATGCTTGCTTCTGTTTTCCTTAGCTGTTTCCCTATAGATCTCAAGTATTCCTCTTGTTTCTCTCTAAAGGAAGCAGTGAAAAGAAAAGGGATGAGAAGCTCAAAGAAGTTGTACAGGCATAAAATTGAGTCTAGTGGGTTCCCCTCAGAGTCTCCCTGGCTTCCCCTTTCTGCCACTGCAACCTCCTTCATGGCTTCCAGCGTGTCTGGAAAGGTGGCGCTGGTCTAGTGCCTGGGTCAGCTTTGTTCCATCTTCCGTTCTGGGACCAGGAGGGTAGGGGATCTCTTCTCCACTGAAAGAAAAGACCCAAACACCAGAGGAATGGAAAGAAGGGGGGCCAGAGAGAGAGAGAAAAAAAAAAAAAGAGAGAGAGAGCAAGCCGATAATTTCCTCGAAGGATAAACATCCGATTTTTTTTCCCTCACCCAAAATAAACATGCTAGCCACAAGGAATTAAAAGCAGAAGAAGGGAGGATGTGTCTCAATTTGGGGCTGCTCAAGGAAGCTGACTTTCTATTTATCCTGGCCCTGGGCGCTAACTGGAGCTGCCAATTACACTCTTGTCTGCTGCAAGTGGGGGTTGGGGAGCAGGTCCCAGGCAGTGTGAGGTTCACACATACCTAGAAGGTCCCTTTGGAGGCTGTCTTCCATGACATTGTAAATGGATGCTTCCTTTCACTTCTTAGTTTAGCTTTGCCTGTAAACTTACCTGGAGAGGTTGAATGGAGCGGGGGCCTTTTGCAGTTTCTGTGTCCTGGGGTTCCTTTTGCTTGGGAGTGGTCTTGAATGCCCTTCCAGAGTATAAGGATTTGCTGTCCATTGCCTGGACAGAGTGTTAAGTCTATCAGCAGCGATGGGAAACCCATTGGTAAACTTGGTTTCCCATTGCACTATTCAGACCCTGCTGCTGGAATGATCCACGTAGTTACAAGTGTGCTCAGCCTGGCTGAGATGTCTGGATTGGAGTCCCTTTGCCTTTCAGTGAATGTGGAGTGTGGCGCTAAGAAGGTAATAACCCCAGCTGAAGCCCCTTTCATCTGGGATCTCAAAGCACTGTGTGCACATGAGTCACCGATGTTGCTGTACTCTAGCCAAGGAGAGGGGTTTATTAACTCTTGGAGGTAAGCTGAGGTGCGGGAGAAGTCAGGAGATGGCACAGAGATGGCTGGGAGTTGGGAAGTGTACATGGTTCAGACTGTGGGTGAGATTGGAACAGAGAGTGCCACAGTCCAGTGACCTCCAGACGCGGCCCAAGGGAGTTCAAATGCTCTATCTCCTTTCCCAGGAGAAAAGGCAAACCCTGGGAAATTATTCATTGCTTTCTAAAAGCATATACTGGTTTATACTACTCTTGGCCTGCATTCTCCTCCCAGTATGGTTATTACCACTCAGTGATTTCCCACTGCTTTTAGGATACAATGCAAAACTTGAACACGACTTTTAGGGTGCTTATGGGCTTTGCCCACCTCTCCAGCCAGTCTGCTCCTTACATACTTCACTTTAGCCTCTGGACTTTCACCTACTGGAACATGACTCTTTCAGCCACAGGACCTTTGCAAGGTCCTCAATGTCAAGAAGACAAAGATTCTCACCACTGGACCAATAGGCAGCATCAGGATGGATGGTGAAGAGATTGAGATTGTTCACAGCTTTAGTCAGCTTGGCTCCACAATCAACACTCTTGGCACCAGCAGCCAGAAATTAAAAGACATATTGCGATGGGAAAGTCTGCTGTTAGGGACCTCTCTAAAGTACTGAAGAGCAACGGTGTCTCTCTGGAGACTAAGGTGCATCTGATACAGGCCATGGTCTGTATTATTTCTGTATTATTACTATTAAAGCACCTAACAACAACAAATAATACAAATAATAATAACAAATAATCACTTGTTATGCGTCAGAGAGTTGGACAATGACTAGGGAGGATAAAAGGAGAATTGATGCCTTTGAGCTTTGGTGTTGGAGGAGAGTATTGAGGACTGCTCAGAAAACAAACAGATTCATCCTAGAGAGGGTTAAATTGGGCTGCTCCTTGGAGGCAAGGATTATGAGGCTTCATCCAACATACTTTGGTCATGCTGTAAGGAGAGACTGGTCCTTGGAGAAGGAGAGTGCTTGGGAGAATGGAGGGCAGGCGCAGGAGGGGCAGGCGCTCTAGGAGGTGGATTGATTCAGTGACTGGGGTAATCGGGATGTGAGAGTCAGAGACAGTGTGATTGGCACAGGACAGAACAGTGTTTAGGGCTGTTGTACATAGTGTCTTATGAGTCACAAGTGACTCGAAAGCACCTAACAACAACAATTTGGAATGCTCTTCTGCCTTGTTCCCACCTACTTAATCCTACCCAGCCTTTCTATAGTGAAGTTAAACATCACTTCATCTGGACCTTCAATCCACTTCCTTCAACATAAGTCTTGTAGTGCATTATAGGGGATGTAGCGGCTTAAGTGTTGGGCTGCTAGCAGAAAAGTCGTGTTGTTGTTCTGTACTGTAGAGTAGAACCAACTCATAGCTGACCCTCCAGAGGCACTAAATCACATGAGAGGAGATTGCTATCTTTTTCTTATGGAGCATCTGGTGGATTCAAACTGCATACCTTTGAGCTGGCAGTGCAATTCCTTACCACTAAGTCACCGGAGCTCCCTAACAGAAAGGTTGGCAGTTCAAGCCACCTGTCCCTCCAGGGAGAAAGATGACATAATCTGTTCCAATTTCCAACCTCAGAAGGCTGACATGGCAAAGTCCACACTGTCGTCCAAGAAAGATCTCTTGGAATTGACTGGATGGCAGTGGGATTGGCTTTGTTTAGTAACACCAGCAGCTTTTGTGATCTTCTACTTCATCTCACAGACAAGTTTTCAGGAGGAGCCAGTACCAAGATGCCAGGCTCGGAAAAGCAGAGGTTCATCTAAAGAGATGAGGATTTACCATGAGCTAGATGGACAGAGGAAGTGCAGGAATGGCCCGGGGCAGGGGGAGTTTGTGAGCGCAGCGCAGGCTTTCAGGCTGCTGTACACATTGCTGATGTGAGCGGGAGCTGGCTTGTGAGTGAACTTGAGGGTAGGTTCCATGAGGCACACACAGTGCCTTGTCTGTGCTGTGGAGCTGATGGGGTCAGGTGAGCGAAGCTGAATATAAAATTTAATATTCTGATAGTAAAACAAATGATATATCAGGAAATGAGGGAGGCTTAATACAAGCTGAAGGTCACCCTGTGGCACAAAGGCATTCCCTAAGAGTCAACATTGTTCTTAGTTTATATTAACTGAATCCCTCCTCCTGAGATTAGGATAAAGAGGAACTTGGCCTTATATGCAAAAGACTTCACCATTATCCTTTGTTTTTGTTTTGTACTTCCTTATAATTTTATTTTGTCTACCTTCCTTATGATTCTCAATAAATACACAGAGAAGCTTGGCTTGGGGTTTTCAGTCATGGGAACTGTTGGTCCCCTGTTTTTTACGCTTTCTGTTCTATATCATTCCTGGTAGTCTGTCTCATTATTAATAATTATAAAAATACTTCACCCTCGGTCTTCAACAGTCAAGCACGTGATTGGTGGCAACAGTATTTATTAAATGAATCCTGGCGCATGCCAAGTCTGGAAAGACCCATGGTGATAAAACAACTGTACTCTGCTTTGTGTTCCCACCTCAATTCCACAGCTGAGGAAGCAGAACTTTACCAAGAGGATAAATGATTTACCTAAAGACTCATAGTCACTCAGTGACAGTTCGGGGATAAGGGTCCTCATCTTCTGTCCGCCAATCTGTTCTTCTCTACCACTTGCATTTACTAGTGAACCCCAAGCCCCAGTGCCAGGCATTGGTTGACCTTTTGTTGCTTTTTGAAGGAAGATGGATATGTTAGGAAAAACAAACACCAAACCAGACAGCCCTGGATGATTATTTTTCCTTTAATCTGAAAGAGAAGCAGTGCCACACCCAGAAGTCAGCACATCAAAGCGGGCAAGCTGGGTACACACCGGCAAGGGGGAACCTGAAGCTCCGGACAGCTATTCCGGCTGGGCTCTTCATTCAGGGTGGTCCCCTCTTCGGGGAGGCTTGGTTTCTGGTTCGTCCAGGGAGTTTTGGGTCATGAACTGGGTGGTTGCTTCAGGTTTATTCAAGTGAAAGCATTTCACGAATCTTTCCATATTCCAAGAGCCTAGAAGGACAAAGATCACAGGAAGGCTGTGAGAGAAAACCACGGCTTGAGAGCTGACGGGGG